TGCTACGCGAGCTTTCGTGACTTGTGAACAGGTCCTGCCCGTGTCGTAGGAGATTTTCTGCCCTGGAGAGTTCTCGTAGTAGATGACGTTGAGGAAGATGCTGGTGGTTTTGGAACAAGTTGGCCAGACTTGCCCCAGCCTCCAGCAGCCTTTTCCCTGCTTGCTTGCTTGTTGGGGGTATAGAGACTGCGAGCAACCCCTTGGCCGGAGGCCTACCCCACTCGGCGCGCGTCTGTACGTCTGAAAGCCTTTTCCCTCTCTCTCACTCTCTCTCTCCCTCTCTCTCTCATTCTCTCACTCTCTGTCTGTCTGATGTCGCATCGGCGCTCACTCCTTGATAAACAGATCATTAGATGGTCCCCTGAGGTCAGCATGCAGGGCATTCACAGCCTTCCGTGTTGTGCTTCGTGTAGGGATGTGTAGGGCTTCGAGCCGAGTCCTTGCCACCCCCACCCGTGTACGACTTAGAAACTCGTCTCAGCCAAACCTCCCGTCGAGTGCCCACTTCGACCTGTACTATAATTCTGCCGTCATTTCGATGTACTTGCCGGTGCACATGCTCTGGCAGGTGCGTCTCTTGGTCTTATACGGCCTGTGGACAGAGATGACCCTTGCTCCCCGAAGAGCTGGCTCGGGCACACCTTCGTCTCTCATCCTCTCTTATTCTCTCATAGGATTTCAAGGCGTGGTTGCACGCTGAATCCTGCCCTGTTTTTCTGCAAGCCCCTGGCATCAGGTCCACCAAAATCACGAAAAGCTACGAGCCCCCCTCAAGCTGCATCTGTCATGTCCATTCAAGGATACACACTCTCGTCACGGTCCTCTCCTTTCTCAAGGTGAACTACCGCCTTTTCCTCTGATCCCATGCAGCCCCAATGTCGACTCGCAGGGGCGGCCTGCTCGAAGTCTTTTCGTGCCAGAAGCCAGCCTTTGGCCTGGCACCAGGCGCAGCACAACGTGCGCACATCGTACGTGTGCGAACATGCGGATCCGCTCCCAGAAGCCAGGCCGGAACAACGTTGCTGTAGGCACAGCCGCGTCGAAACAGTGCTCGAGTGTTGTTCGGGTCCACACTGAGCGCCTTTCCACAGCCATGCTCAGAGCTGTTCAAGGAACCACGCAGAGCTGTGCATGATCAGACCTTTTGGCTGAGTCGTGGCCTCTTGTGGCTGCGACATGCACTACAAAAATGTTAACAAGCTATGTATGGAGTTCTCTTTTGCTCAAGAATTGGGATGCAGAAGTGGCCTTTTTGCAACTGGCAAGCGGCCGGGTGCATTGTTCGCTGCATTGCTGGCTACAGTACACGCAGTGCTACAGCTCCAGGTCGGTGTTCTGATCAGCACCTTCGAAACACAAAGCTCTCGCGGACAGCCCAACTCCACGTGCCGACAAACGACGCTAGGATTGCAAGCCAGATGCAACCCAAGGGCCGTATCTAAGCGCAAATCTCGGGGGCAGAACCGACTTCAGATTCACATCGAGAGGTCGAAATGCTGCATCACTTGCCCCTGCAGCTGCGAAGAAGAGCTTGTCACCTGAGCATCAATGTTCAGCGCTGCCTTTGGTGTGCACGGCCTCGGCATTGATGACTGGCATTGATGCATCTTGCAGGCTGAGGCACCATCGTCTCTGGCACGGAGCGATTTGGGCTGGCAGTCTTCCCCGGCCTTCGCGAAGCGCATGACCTGCCTGTCGCGGTTAAAGGTGGTGTGGTAGTACCGGAAGAAGGGCATGCCCAAAATCCACACTGGACCAAGCTGAGTCTTCATGTCCATCTCCTTGGCACTGACACGATCCTACATGCAGAGTGCGGTGTGTCAATGATCTCGATAGCTCTAGCAAGCCAAGGTTTTGCAAAGCTGCCATGAAAGCTGGCATGCACGAGTCAATCTTGCGAATCTTCGGCTTGAAGAACAGGAGATCCCAAATGCTGTCGGCTTCGACACTGGCACCCACGACCCTCCAAGCAGAGCTGTCTGCAAACACTGCCCACAGTTTGACGTCAGCTACTGCGCGACAAAACGGGTCTCATTGCGTTTAGCGGTTTTTATTCCATGCAGAACTGGGGGTTGAGCTTGCTGCTAGCCGTTGCAGCAAGTGACCCTGCAACAAATGCAGTCGCAATGGCCTCATCACATAGGCTTGCGGAGGAAGCTCCAGCTCATGGCCGTCCAAGTTCAATTTGAGATTGGGCAGCTCATGTAGGTTGGAGCAGTCCTTCGTTTGCAGTCGCCTTCTGGAGACTGCAGAAACATGGTGTGACACTGGCCGGTGGCTACCGAGACTCTTCGGCAGAGGCCCTCAAAGGCACGGAAAGTTTATGCGAGGCAGCAGAAGAAGAACTTTACAAACAAACCGCCCACTCTCGCCCTTGTTGGGCTTTTTACTCGTCCAGTGCAAACCGGTCCTCTTCGATCTTACCAATCTGCCGGCCCAGCTCCATGAGTGCAGCTGCCGGAGCCGCAATGAGTGAGGTGCCGCTGTCGACAATGGCCGCACAACCATCTTGACACACCTGTGCTATCAGCGCTTTGGAAGCACTCAGCCCTCAAAGACCCAACAGTGTTGATGACTGCTGCACAGGGCTGATGAGGCTGCGGCCTGGCTCTTGGTGGAATTTCCGTCCTTTACTACACACTGCCTGTCTACCACTGCACTCCCCGTTGAGACAACGAGATAGAACGAGTCTCCTTGGTGAAGGAGACATGCGTCAGGTTTGTGGCCCAGTGGTGTTTGCCCAGCACACGTGCAGTTGCGACATCAAGAGGCTCCTGACGCTGGGAAGGATTTGTCATGCATCATTCAAAGGGCAGAAAGCACTGAAATGCTGTGGAGACTCCATCGCGGCATCGGCATCAGGACCCCAGGTCAGGTACCCATTTCTGCCAGACTCCTACAAAAGCACATCCCATGCCGCGTGAACATGCACGAATCATCGCACGGGTGTGAGTGCTCTTTTCGAAGATGTCCTTGTTCAGGCAAATTGAGAACTCGTCAACCTCATCACAGGAGAAACGGCTCAAAGCAGAAACCACACATAATTGTGCGTCTGAGCAGCATGATAGTTCATCAAGAGTGTCTTCCTCACATGCTGCCAGACGGAACCACAACCAAAATGCAGAATCCGCCCTGAGACCTGTGAGAGGTATCGTAGGGTGCGGGGCACGTCTTTGCAAATCGCTTGGATATTAGCATGTCAAGCTTGTCGTGCCCGAGGATCTGCGCAGTGTTGTACCCGAATTTGGGGCCAATCCCAACAATCGCAGCAAACTTTGCCGTGTCCAATATCGGGATCTCGTGCTGCAAGATCCTTGCAAGCGAGCCCGCAAAAGACCAGCCAGGAAGGCTTAGCTTTGAGACAGATTTGCCAAGTCACTCCCAAATAGGCTGCTGTTGTGCGATGAGTTTCGGACCCACCTGACATGCACCAGTCGCTCACACTTTTTGCGATTGTGGCTGGCCCATGCCTGCACTGTGTCGTACCCGAGCATCGTCACACACGGTCCGGAACCGTAAACATGCTGAGTCATGGTCCCGTTCTCCTGCATAGCCAGGAGAAATAGAGCGCTGGCACAGTTTCTACAGTCTCTTCTCCTTGTACGTCTTGCTGAGCTCGTGAGAATACGGTGTGGTCGGGTGGACACACATCTTGCATCTGGACGATCGGACCACGATCTCGAATGAGCCGGTATCCTGAGTAACATCATCAGTCTTGCCTGACTAGCGTAGACACATAAGCTGCAATCGTCAAGTCTCGAAAATGGCAGCAATGTCTTGCCCACCAATCTTGAAATCCGCGAAGTACTGCACGTCCTGCCAAGTCGCAACAAGCAATGTGCAATCCCCCAAGCACACAACTCGTGCAGGCAGGTCAAGCTTGAGTTGATTCCAGCTGATGCCTCATGGTTGTGCAACTGCTGGCGGAAAGACATGGACTGCCTGTCGCGGATCAACTAGCTTGCAGCTGGCTCTGTCATCGGAAGAAGCATTAAGCAGCATGGCTAGAACAGAGAGAGAAGCACCGGACAAACTGTCTTAAGGCATGAGTGCACAAAACAACCACTCGGGAAAGTTGAATGAAAAGATAGAGAGCGAAGCGAGCAGGCCATGTTGGCTCACCAATATGCAGTCAAGATGCCCAGGACCCCTCGTCCGGAGCCTTCCAGCTGCAGCCAGCCCGAAGGCCAAGACCTGGACTCTGGATCGAAATTTGCTCGGAGTTATGAGCACCATGGTGGCTCCTTTTCTCGTCTGCCGTCGCAGCCAATCAACTTTTGTACCAGCTAACGGCTGCCAGGCCAACCTGCCTCGTCGGTCTGACTGGGACGAGGTCCGACAGAGATTTTGCAGCAGCAAGGGTTGCATCTTGACCCATGAGCGTGCATGGACATTTGGTGCGGAATCAAGGTGCCGATTGAAACGTATCGATGTGAACAACATCCGTCAAAAAAAACTGCTCCAACAACTTGGTCCTCCCATGGGTGCCCATGCAACTCAATTCTCGAATATGTGCACAACCGCAACGACAAGACTGACGTGCGATGCTCAGCACCTGCCAATCTGGTCTTCGACTTGCTCGATGACAAGCAGTTGGTTGCCAGCTGTCCCATGAAGCTGCCTGCCAGTCTCAACGGGCAGATTGAGCTTCCTCGCTTTGCTGGCTTTCCCGATGCTTTGCGTCAAGCACACGTGTCGCGACATACAAGCTAGTCGCTAGCGCTTGCCAGCCTTCTTTTGCTGCATCTGCCGCTGTGCTGGCACACCCTTAGGCCCCAGGCTCGCCTGCTCTGTACAAGCTTTCCAGGCCGAGCTTCCCTGCGAAGCCCTCAGCCGGCGGAGCTTCTCGGTGGCTGAAGCTCAGCTAGCATTCCACTCCGGTGAAACAAAGAAGGCGTGACTTTTGCCAGCTGCCGGGTCAGAACATCCGCTGGAGCTGGGTAAAAGCAAATGTTTCCCTGTGCTCAGGCCTCAGGCAGTCTCATTTGCGAAGTGCTCTTCCACACTGCTGTCCATCCGCTTCCATCTATGTCTGCCAGAGTCCGCCTCAGCACTCACAAGCTCGTGCTCTCGTGCAGCTTGCAAGTCTTTACCGAACCCATATATTGAATTCTGCAGATCTCGCACCCTGCTTGAGGACTTTCGCTTGTACCCTTCCCGCTTCCCAATGAAGATTGAAACGAAGTAATAAAGCAGATCGCTGTGGCCAGGGGGAACTTCCTGTCTGAGACGGCAGCTTTGATTTCGTGCAGCCTGCTGTTACAGTTGTTGGCCTTGTAACACTTCTTCGGGCTCGAAGACTCATCTTGGCAAAGCAAAAACCCGCCAGAGGGCATGAAAAGGTTTGCCGAAAATTGCCGAAACAAACCCTGGCTCAGGTGTGCCTATCATCCTTGAGCCTCTTGCTTTCCTCCTAGGCCCAATTATTGATGCGCTGCGCTTGTTGCAAAACCTGCCTGACTAAGTTTCAGCACACGTGGCAAGCTGCTTCTGCCAGGAACCCTTCCCTCTCAGCTATGTTCTGCACCTCCAGCTACGAGAATGTTGGTCAAGTCTTGCTGGGACAGGTATGCTATTACAACAAGGTGACGGCGCCCGCACAGGGCGCTGCGTTTAGACGCTTTTTTGGCTAGTGCAACACGGCGGCGTGGCCAAAACTCGAGCGAATCGCATGTTTTGCATGGGCGAGGAGCTTGCACAGGTGTCGGAAACACTAGAGGCTCATGCAAACTTTTCGCTCGGCGCCTGCGGGATTTGTTTTCTGCTTTTGTTTTTCTCCGGTTGGCCTTGCAATTGTAAAGCCACACTCCTCACAGCTTCAAGAGCATCTGTGCTTCAAAATCGTGCTCTGGCCACAGCGCGGGCGCGTTTTGGACTGTATGCATTCTGCTTTTCGGAGGCCTGTTGTGTGGCGGGAGGTCTTTGCAAGGGACAGCTTCAAACGTACAAGCTGCAAATCGCGTTCTGGCCACAGCGCAGGGGCGATTGAAACCTCATGCAGTCTGCCTTTTTTTGGCGCAGGAGTCATGTTATATATTTCACATTGCTCAGAGCCCGGATCCCCTTGTGAAGTACTTCGCCAGCTATCAGGATTTAACTCTTTTTGGTCGTGTTTGGGCTAAGGCCTGCCTGCGACATACATTGATCTACCAGTAGTTGGTAACCTAAACTCTAGAGTCTAGGGCCTATACCTCAAACACCAGACCCAAGCACCGGCTTTAGAAAGCCTGATGTGGAAATCCTGCACTTTAGTCTTCCTAAATGTCGCCTCGAATAGATAGTAATTGAACTCCAAGCCCTGCAAGCTTCCACGACCCTACTGCTGCGCACGTGTTTGAAGCTTCTCGGAAAGTCAAACCGTAATCGGTTCGGCGACGCAGCTATGCTGTTGAAGCCAGCATTTCGGCGGATGCCGTGTCCAGGGTGCAAAGTCGGAGGCACATCATCAAGCCTCCCCCAGCACTTGGAAATGTGTCTAAACGCAGGGCCCCGTCTCCTTCCATACTTGAAGTTTCTGCGGCATACTTTCAGTTCAGACTCCTTTTACTTGTACATGGTTGGCAAGATGCGGCCTACCACTTCTGCAATGACTGCGTCACATACCTGTGCTCCGAACACTTTGCCAAGTGGTTCGTTTGAACCCCATTCATTCCTGTTTGGACAATCATTCCAATGGCGTGTTCTGATTAGGTCTTCAACAAAGTCGGGCAGTACTACTTTCAGTTTGCACCTCGAGCGATGCTGAACGTACTGCCATGGTGGCTGCATGGCTGTTGCTTTAAAATACTTGTCGCTGGACGGCAATGACATAAACCCTCTGCAGTTTATGTCACGAACGCGGTTACCATCGCAAACATGCAGCAACAGCGCAGGGCCCTGGTGTCTTGCGCCGTTCCAAGATGGCAATCCCATACGACCCCTTGCCTGAAATGTGGAATTTGAGCAGCCCCCATGTGGCCAACCCCTCGTGCTTCCTGCTGACTTGCTGACGAGAAAAGGGGACGAGTTTCCAGACATGTAGCTGCTCACATCAACGCAGCTCAGGCTACCACGGACTCGCCACGATGAAATCGCTGCTGCCGATTAAACGCACAGCGCAAGGCTAAAGCAGCGCCGAATGCCGACAACCTTGAAAGTCGCAGAAGCACACATTCGACATGTCGGCAACCTGCAGGACATCTAGAAGATCCTGCAGAGAAGGTTGCGGCAGTTGGGGCGGCTCAGGCATCGACGCTGCGCTGCGACGACAAAGCCTTGCAGCATCTTCGTCACCTGTGCCAGAAAGGGCTCTCAAAAAGACAATCTCAAAGTCCGTCTTGAAGCCACGGTTTCTCGTCATCGCAAGGTGTCACAGATCTATGCCAAGGCTCCTCTAGCCAAGGCGGTCTGGGACATTCCGAAAAGCGCGAAAGCCAAGGCTGCAGCGAGCATCCAATCCTCCAGTCTTGCCACAACAAGGTGTGATTCACATTGAGAACTACTCTTGGGGTCATGATTGTTGGCTACGTGCGACAATCCACTGAGATGCTTGCAGGTGGCATAGCGTAAGCAAACGGCCAAGCCCATGGCAGAAGTGAAGGTGGTCACGACAGCTGATGGAGACAGCAGGCGAACCTCCAATCGGTCTGCCAGCCGCTGCACCTGTGGGCTGGACACAGCTGTGACATGCTGTGGCTCGGGGTTTGTGGCTCACACCATTCACAAACTACTCATTTCATGAGGTCGATTCGGGAGCCTGCAGGCAGAGCGCGACACCGACCCACGCAATACCTCCAGCGCTACCACTGCCTACCACTGCTTGAGAAAGAAGAACAGAAAGAGAAAGAGAGAGAGAGAGAGAGAAACAGAAAGAGAAAGAGAGAGAGAGAGAGAGATAAAGAAAGAGACAGGGATGATGGCAACGCCACGCGAGAGCTCACAGCCACGCATTCTGCAAGATTGGCACGGAAAGTCTTCGCGAAAATCAGCACTGCAAAACAGATCGATCAAAGTGCTGAATGAGAATTGAACAGATGCCAAAAAGCACCCCACTTATTTGGGCAGGAGGGGCATCACTTCTCGCCGAGCCCAGATTGCTGCTACGGCTGGGTGCACACTGGACAGAGCAACGGACAAGAAGTCGAAGCATCACACTCCAGATCGGGGCATCCTAAAGTGCTCCCGATAGCCAGGCTGCATACCGGCGGGGCCATAGCATGTTGCTAACTAACACTTGCGTCTGTCACGCCGACTCGCAACACTGTGAACGCAACTGTAAGCAGCACATGCAGACGGGCACCGTGGCATAAGCTCGAGTGCATGGCCAAGGAACTCAAGGAGTGGAAACCGCAACGCAAAGTCCAAAGTTTCACTAAAGTCCGCCGAGGCCACCGGCCCAGGCGTCTTGGGGGTTAGCTCAAGTACCCTCCACCAAATCCTCCTCTCAGTGGTTGGAACCACCCGTTTTTGGCGTCCATCTTCCACCCCCCGCCCGGCTTCGCCTGATTTTACCTCACTTGTCGGCCTTTGTCTTCTGGACCCCCTCACTTTT